CAAGCAGGTCGTCTGGGGACAGGGAAATCCCCTTGATTGTCGATACCAAGTCAGTAGAGTTGAGGTCCCTTTCAAAACCATCACCTTACCCTACATTGCTGGGTCACAAAAAATATCTCCAAAATCCTGATAAAACACAAGATCCAGGTCCGATTCAACACAGTACATAAAATACGTGATCTGGTCCCGTCTGTAAAAAATGTGGTTCCAGACATACAGTACCCTGGCGTCTACAAACTAAGTTGCCTCTGTGGTAGCAGTTACATTGGAGAAACCAAACGACATGTCTCGGACCGAATCCGTGAACATAAAGCAGACTTGAAACACGGTAGGACAAACACCTCAGCCGTGGCAGATCACTGTTACAATTGAGTGGGCTCACATGACATTGACTTCTCCAAGACAGAGGTTCTCTGCAAGCCATCTGGCTACCATGAGAGATTCGTTCATGAAGCGATCCACATATACAAACACAGAGACAATTTCAACCGAGAAGATGGATTCTGGCTCAGTAATCATTGGAAGGACGTAATAAACCATTTCGGATCTTAACTGATTGTGTTCACGTTTACAGTGACTTTCAGACCGCGTTCCACTCACTGGCATTGACTATATATCTTGTATTCTCCGCAGGGAATGGATTCTTTACTCTGCTGCAAGTCTGCAATCACCACTCTCCCATTGACATATTTCGCTGCTTCCTCTTAGTATCTTTCACGAGACGGTCAATGGTATAGTATATAGCGGATTGTAAAATAATAAATAGTATAAAATTGTAATGTGTAATACATGGTGTCGTAGTTGTATGGTGAATATGCAGCAGTGTGGTGTGCAGTAGGGTGGGTAGAATAATACATAGTGTAATATTACAATGGATAAGGTATAGGGTGGTGTATAGTAATACAGTATATAATTTAATGTTGGGTTTGTCTGTAGCAGTATGTAGTACGGGGTAGACCCGTGTGATGTGGGAGAATAAAGTTTGGCTGGAGGCGTGTTATATTTTTTGCGACGTAGAATTGTGGTGTATTACTTACTGTTGGTAGCTCAGCTTATTGGAGAGTATTTTTAGTATACTGATGATACTATGTAGTTTATACTTTGGTTGTTTACGTGGTGGTTTGGTTGCTGCAGCTATATACTGTTAACATTTCTTCCCTTTATTAATGCTTCCCCCTATCCCCTCCCTTTGATGCTGCTGGTCCTGCATAATGCACGGGCAAAACATGACTTTAAACCCCCCGCCAAACCTCCTACGCATTTCACAATTAGTACTAGTCGCATATCTGCATTTCCCATAAATATGCAAAAAAATCCTATTGGTATGCAAATTATTTTGTCAAGGCGCTCTTCCTCCTCCCTCCCAGCTTAAAAAGACGCACCAAGCCCAATACGTGTCATTCAGACGCTGTCTTATCGACAGACCTGTTCTTCACCTGAGGACGGCTGCTTGCGTTGTGGCCGAAACGTCGTGAGAATTATTTTATTATGTTTTATTTTTATTATTTTATTATTTCCATTCTACGTGACTTTACCGAAAGACCCAAGAAGATGAATCCCTGCAGTCACGAAAGCTTTAAAGTGGAGGGAAAAATTGGAGGACGAGGAGAAAAATCCACGCAACCACGCAAACTCCAAATATACAGCAGGCATCAGGGGCGGTATCGAACCCACGATATCCTGTATATCAGGCGATGTAGTTAACATCTCGCCACCGTCGCGCCATACGAATAAACCCATCCCCGTCACAGGAATGAAGACTTTCCACGACTGGTTAGGTTTGTAAACAAGAGATGAGCCACCACCTCAATAATCATTTGGAAGTCACTTTGACTTGAGACGTTTCTAAAATATATATCAATTATCTCCCCCTAAGGTTAAGAATATATCACCGGAGCAATTTTCATAAGCACTGACAGCCAAACTGATTTTTTTCAGCAACGTAAAATGTGTTCAATACAGCCGCTGCGTGCAACCCCAACAAGAAGAAGCAACGCACACTGGTGAATACTCATACCGGTATCACGGCCACGATCACGCGTGAAATAAAGGGCCCGAGCTGGAAAAAAACATTTCTGTAGACAGAACGCCCCTAAGCTACACACACACAAAAAATAAATATCTTGCTCACTCTGCATGTTAACCAGATTCGCTCCATAAATACTCAGGCCACCATAAAAAATGTCACCGATTTTCCTAGCAAAGCGGTCACCCCTTTCCCAATGTCAACGGGGGGCTCGCTTCCCTGCCTCGTGTGCACGTGGCTACTGAGAGTGGTTGCCCGGGTGACTCAGTGATCGCAAGTGGCACAGACGCCCAGCTCTCTTCTCTAGTACAGCATTCAGACTACAGATGACCAGAACGATTTGCACTGTATCTTCATTGTCTCTTGAGACAATAGGCTGACTTGCATTTCTGGAGGGACACTGCGCAGGTGGTTCGCGTCCGTGCTGATGCGCAGCTCTCCGATGTTGTCGTTGGATTGTACCGCGTATTTTACTGCATGATGTCCGACGTTTCGCTCCACGCGCCGGGAGCGTCGTTAATAACTGAATCCAAGAAGCTATAGCAACGCAGCTTTCCAGCCTCCTCATATTATCTACGAAGCTTTCACAGCGAATGGAAGTTGAGCAGCAAGTCCGTGGTCATCCGGGGCTCCTCACTGGAGCCTTTCATTTAATATTTACACGACACTAATACATCCCATACTTATTGGCATCTATATTTGGGCGACAGGATTTGATTCGTACCAACATCTGGTGGCATTGTGTTCAACTGTATGATAGTTCACCGCACAGATTTCATCGACCTGAGCTGACCGAGGAACACGTTTGCCTTTGTTCTGCGGAAACAGGGGGGCAGCCCCGGGACCTTTTCCACTTCGAGGCCTCCCTCTATGAGAACAGCCACGCACCCCACGTGACGCATTGTTCACCTGACGCACAGCGCTCACGTGTCTGGGACGCCTCCAGCAGCTGACGACACAACGATAGCACTTGAGCAGCTTGTGTGGTCGGTGCATTGTGACGTGACTGGGCTAAGACCATAGGCGCAGTTTCACTTCCATATTTAATCTTAATTATAAACTACTGAAAGTAAATTAATAAATGTGTCCAGTTTGGGAGGGGCAATGCCCCCCCCCGTGCCGCCTCCCCCCACAAACTCCGCCCATGGCTGAGACCACCAATAGTGTTACTCGTGCAAACACCATCTCATCTCATTCGACTGGCTGCATGGAATCAACCCCAGGTCCTCAGCGAAGCTGGTCAGCAGCTGGAATTCGGGAGTGGCTTGGAAGGGGCCGCGCTCTGCTGGCCTCGCGGACTACGGGGGCCGTCCACGCTGCTGCCGCTGTTGCTGGGATCCACCGCTCTGGCTGAGCGTGGCGCTCTTTATGATGACATCGATTAGACGGGGTCTGCACAAGTGAGGGCCAGGTGGGGCCAGAGAGCGCGGCAATCAGGAGAGAGAGTGTGGTACATGGGAGAGTGTGGTACATGGGAGAGTGTGGGACATGGGAGAGAGAGTGTGGGACATGGGAGAGAGAGAGTGGGACATGGGAGAGAGAGTGTGGGACATGGGAGAGAGAGTGTGGGACATGGGAGAGAGAGTGTGTGACATGGGAGAGAGAGTGTGGGACATGGGAGAGAGAGTGTGGGACATGGGAGAGAGAGTGTGGGACATGGGAGAGAGAGTGTGGGACATGGGAGAGAGAGAGTGTGGGACATGGGAGACAGCGTGTGGGACATAGGAGAGTGTGAGACATAGGAAAGAATGAGAGTGTGGGACATGGGAGAGAGAGAGTGGGACATGGGAGATGGAGCTCCCTCGCCGTCAGGAGGCTGAACCAACCGTGATCGGCCGAAGATCTGGTCTTCGAACCGATCCTCAGGAACCCACAGACAAAGCTGCCATCCACCACCGCCACCCCCGGCATGGAGAGGCGCCTCACCAATGCGCGGCTCACCAGGATGGGAGATTTGGTGGAGCCTGGAACACGGGGCCGGTGGCTCGGACCAGCAGACATGGCCGCAAAGACAGGGCTGCAGTCGCTCCGGGTGGCTGCCCGGATCCTGGCCGAAGCCAAGGGAGCCTTCTCAGCGGCAGCGGGAAGAACGCCCCCCATCGGCATTGGGGATGACAAGGCCCTTCTCGGTCCCCCTCCACCGGAGCTCTCTGTCGTGCCACTGCATCGCCAATGCCGACAAGCGAAGGCGGATCACAACCTGTGCTGGCTGGGAAACCGGAGTGACCCTGGCCACCGGACCTCTGAACGGCTTTGCCAGTCGTCGTCAAGCTGATGACCGAACAGTCAGCTTAGACTAGGACCCTGGGAACCCCTGGACCCGACGTCCTTGTAAGGGCCAGGACTGAGTGAGCCAGTGGTCGGACCCTGGGAACCCCCAGAACCCGATACCCTTCTAAGGGCCGGGACCGAGTGGGCCAGTGGCCGGGACCTGAGGACCTTGGCTGGGTCGGGTCAGCGAGCCTCCCCGAGGTCCCCCTAGCCGGAGGGCTGATATATATAGAGGAAGTGGTCCCAGTGATTAGGACACGCTTGCCCGGAGGCTATACCTCCCCAGGGTATCGGGTGGAAGGGGCCGATACCCCTTTGTGTCAGGGACCTTGTGTTGCCATTATAGTTGTTATAAATAAATGTGTTGCCTCCAGAGAAAACTGGATCTCCATCATTACCACTACACATGGGAGAGAGAGTGTGGGACAGTGTGCAGTGTGGGAACTGGGACAGTGCGGGGACTGGGACAGTGCAGGAACTGGGAGAGTGCGGGAACTGGGACAGTGCGGGGACTGGGACAGTGAAGTGTGGGTTCTGGGGTCTTGGTGGGGCAGGATGACAGTGGAGGTGATCGTGGTTATTATGGTGATGTAATCCATAGCAACATGGGGGTGAGCTTGGCTGGTTTCCATAGCGACCGTGCATATAACCCGGGGCAACGGTGCAGGGTACGCGTGGCTCGTTGCCATGGTGCGAGGCTGCGCTCCGCAGGACGCGGTGACGTGCGGGACGCTCGCCTGCAGTGGCGGCGGCGAGCGAGCGAGAGCGTGGAGACATCAATCCCACCCTGGTGTCATGGTGACCCCGCCTGGGTATCAGTCTCCCCCTGCTCCCCACATCCCCTCTCTGCCCCTTCTACTGCCCCCTCCACTGCCCCCTCCACTGCTTCCTCCGCGGCCTCCTCCACTGCCCCCTCCACTGCCCCTTCTACTGCCCCCCTCTACTGCCACCGTCTCTCTCATTTTGCTGCCCCCCTCTCTCACCTTCACTCCCTCCGCTGCTCGCTTTATGACGTCTCTCTCTCCATCTCGCTCTCTCTCATTTCCTCCCCCCCTCTTCCTCTCACCCTTCTCTCTCCTCTTTCGGTTCCCCCTCTCTCGCCTACCCCACAACCCCACGTGAGCTCCCCCCCCACCCCGCTCCTCCAATCTTCTAGCCCACTGCACACATCAGCCGCTCACCATGGTAACGCGGTACAATGAGAGAGGGAGAGAGGAAAGGGAAGGATGGAGGAGGGGAGAGAGGAGGGATGGAAGAGGGAGGGAGGGAGGCAGGGGAGGAAGAGGGAGGGGGGGATAGAAGAGGGAGGGAGAGGAAATGGAGGGAGCGAGGTGGGGGAGAGAGGAGGGATGGAGAGAGGAAGGGAGGAAGCAGTGATTGAGTAGGAGCCGTGCGCGATTAATGGGGGAGAAGGTCGAGCAGAGAGGAGGGGAGTGCACACACAGGTGTGCGCACCTCCGATTAGCACGGTTGTCTATGTACGGTGCGAAAGAAGTTCAACACACGGTTATACATACACGGCAACATGGGGCAGACGCAGACGCCGGCATTAGTTTAGGAGGCCGCGCCCTGCTGCTGCGACTCAGTGAAGTTGAAACTGACCCAGGCTGCAAATTTGAATGGAACCTCTCGAGAAATTTGAAGATCCATAAAACAATCACATTACACACGTGCCTACACACGTGCTTACTCTGCACTGCCCGTTGGTGTATATCAGCACAGTTCCGTGTATGTCGCTATTGACACGTGTAGATATTGTCCGCAAGCTCTTATAACCTTACTCAACTCAAGAAACCTGTTAACTCTTATCCATTAAAACTTGGAAAGTGTGGTTTGTTGCTGGCCTGCTTGACGTTTTGGGATGGATGTCGGCATTTGCAGTAAGGCTGTCCATGCGTGGCTGCCGCTACTCAGACAATATAATGACGTTAACTCGTGGGTGAGGACAGGTGAGCAGCATGGCACCATCGCTCACTCAGAGAAGTTCATCCACCACACAGTGATGAGCCACTGTCAACTCTACGTAGAACCCATGGCTCTGTATGTCAGTCAATGGTCTCTATGCGAGTCTATGAGTCTCTATGCGAGTCTGTGGGTTTTTGTGCTAGTCTATGAGTCTCTAACTGCGAGCACACGGCAGTGAACAAGTGTCGACTCCGAGAGGTGAGCGGAGGCCTCGGTAGCAATCCACTGCCCATCGACTGAAGCATTTCCCGCCTCGCTTTTGTTGTTGTTGGTTACTCACTCAGTTGCTGAGCACAGGCCCAGAACGTGAAGCAGCCAGCAACAAACAGCACCGTTGGACGCCGGGGGGAATTCCCATAGTGGAGCAGTGCGTGGGAAGAAGCTGGAAGAGAAGTGTTGTGACCTTCAGTGTGGTGAGTGTGTGAGTGGGTGGGTAAGTGAGTGGGTGAGTGGCTGAGAAGGTGAGCGGGTGAGTGAGTGATTGAGTGAGTGTGTGGGTGATTGAGTGGGTTAATGAATGAATAGGTGAGTGAGTGGGTAAATGAGTGAGTGGGTAATTGATTGGGTAAATGAATGAGTCGGTGAGTAAGTGGCTGAGTGAGTGGGAAAATAAATTAGTAGGTCAGTGAGTGGGTGGGTGAGTGAGTAAATGAGTGAGTGGGTGAGTGTGCGTGTTGTTGGGACCATGTCACAATATAATCCAGCAAGTGAAAACAATGAAAATGAATATATCCCGGTGAGCTACACGAATCGCAATCAGCACGTCGCACGCTCGTACACGAGGCAAGTTAATTCGTGTGGCTCTGTCGAGTGGCGGAAGGCCCTTACGCGTTTCACGTCGAGCTGACCAAGACAAGGTGGGGGGTTGGGTTTCAGACTCGGTGACTGTCATCGTAGCACAGTGCGCTCAACATCCCGCGACCCCCATCAACCACACCACGCACATCCCACGACCCCCCCCCCCCCTGTCCAAACGCGATGATGCTTGAACAGCTGGTGCACTGAGCGGGGGTTGGCGCGGCCCCCCACGTCCAGCCTCTGTGCGGCATCCATCGACCAAGGTCAGTGGCCGCCTCCCCTGCACCGCCTCGGCAGCGGTCCAGGCGCTCCATTAAAGTGCACTCACAAGTGAACATCTCCACTGCGTATCTGTGTGCGCGTGTGTGTCTGCGTGTGTTTATGTGTGACTGTGAGTGTGTATCTATATGTGTGTAATGTGAGCGTAAACGGGCTCGCGGGATGTGACGTAACAGGTGGGAGGAGTTAGGGTCACATGGGGAGAGAGAGAGCTTTTAAGGACAGGAACCGGAAGGGCTGGGGGAAAGTTTGAGAATAGAGACAGGAGGAGGCCATGCAGGGCAGGAGAAGGAAAGTGGCGTGATCGCCACAGGGTTGGGACCCGGCACCGTCGGCCAGCGGTGTCCGGGCGTGGAGGCGACGGAGAGCCAGCAGCGGGGCTGCATAGTGAGCAGCCGTGGGGCTGCAGGTCGGGAAGCAGAGAGGCTGTGTAACGAGCCAGCAGCGGGGCTGCATAGTGAGCCAGCAACAGGTCTGCAGGAGCGACGGCAGCAGTGGGGCTGCCGAGCGGGAGACGGAGGAGACTCTGAGCGAGGCGCCGTGCGGGCAAAGTTGTACGAACCAATAAAGGACAACGGAGACAGACCCAGTGCAAGAGTCCTTTATTACATGTGTGTGGGTCTGCGTGTGTGCGTGCCTTTGTCTGTGTGTGTGTCTGTTTGTCTATATGTGTGTGGGTCTGCGTGTGTGCGTGTCTGTGTGTGTGTGTGTCTGTGTGTGTATGGCCAGGTGGAATGTTCGAACGCTCACTGCGGAGGAGAGGCTGCCACTCCTTTGTCGGGAGCTGGACCGGTACCGCCTGGATTTCTGTGGCATTCAGGAGGTCCGGTGGACCGGTTCTGGCTCCTGCCACCATGAGGGGTGGACAGTCCTCCACTCGGGACAGGAGACTGCCAAACAACAGGGTGTGGCTCTTCTTCTGAACAAAAGAATGAAGGGGGCATGGGAGCGTGGCGGTGAGGTGTGGGAAGCTGTAAGCCCCAGGATACTTTGGGCTTGCCTTCCCATCAACCGGAGGCGAGGAGTGGTGGTCGTGGTTACTTATGCCCCCACCGAAGATGAACATCCGTGGAGGGATGCAGGCAAAGCCAATGAGTCAGATGCCTTCTATGACCTCCTGTCACAGGTCCTGGCTAAAGTGGCCACCGAGTTGGTCATGATGCTGGCACCTGGTCTGGAGTGATTGGAAGGCATGGGCCAGATCAGCCCATGGGCTTGGTAGGAGGCTGCTAGATTTTGTGCAGCCCATGGGCTTGTAATTACCAACACGCTCTTCCGGCATTGGTGCATCCAAACAACATCATGGATGCATGCCGGATCCAAGCAAGAACATCTGCTGGACTACATAGTGACGGACCAGCAGATGCGAGCCCATGTCCTTGACACCATGACCTACCGTGGAGCTGATCTGCCCTCTGACCATTCCAACCAAAAGTGGCCTGGTCTCAGCTGATGAAAGTTGCAAGTGAGAATTTCATCATCGCTTGCAGCTGGGGTTGGCATCGTCCCCCACTCCTCCTGATGTCGAGGGTAAATGGGCCAGATTTAGGACTGTGACTCATGCAGCTGCAATGGCTGCTTTGGGTACGCAGTCCAGACCTCCCCAGAAACCCTGGCTGACAGGAGGTGTTCAGGTTAGTTGAGAAAAAGCGACAGGCCCACTCTCATCGGCTACAGCATCCCACGTCAGAGAATGAGGAGGTTTACCGCAGCCTTTGCTCGGAGGTTCGGAGAGCCGTAAGGCGCTGCATGGATGGGTGGTGGTCACGGGTTGCTGAGGAGATAGTCTGCCTCAATGGCCCGCGATCACAAATCACTATTTAACTCCATCAAAAAAGTAACCTGCAGCGCCACACCGATTACCATCATTAGGGGAAAAAACGGTAATCCAATCTCCGACCCCCAGGAACAGGTTTGCAGATTTGCTGAGCATTTCTGTGAGGTCCTGGGGGAGGGGAAATCTCTCAGCCAGGAAAACAGCATGGCACAAAGTGGGGATAACCCTGCTGAGGCTGCGGTGCCTCAAATATTGGAAGAGGTCACTCCCTGTGAGTGGCTGGCTGAGGTGCCTTCTGTTGAGGAAGTACTGAAGGCGATCCGGAGTCTGAGACCAGGAAAGGCACCGGGCAGAGATGATCTCCCAAGCGAAATGCTGAGGGAGGGTGGCATTTGTGCACAGACTGCCCTATATGACATCATAACAACAGTCTGGACCACTGGACGGGTTCCGCAGGATTGAAAGGATGCCCTGGTGGTCCCCCTCTTTAAGAAGGGGGACCGCACAGACTGTAACAACTACAGGGGCATCTCACTCCTCAGTCTGCCGGGAAAGGTCCTGGCAAGGATTATTCAACATCGCCTTGCTAGGCACGCTGAGGAGAGGCTTGCGGGCCCCAATGCGGTTTCAGGAAAGGGCGGTCCTGCACAGATGCCATATTTTCTGTCCGTCTGCTACAGCAGAGGTGTAGGGAATTCCAACAAGACCTACATCTCCGCTTTATTGACCTGGTCAAGGCCAATGATACCATCAGTGGGCCTGGGCTCTGGGCTGTTCTTCGCGCTTTCGGAGTCCCTGACCCTCTGCTCATGATCATTAAGGACCTTGATGATGGTGAGCGGGCCCGGGTAAAACTACGTGGCCGGGAGTCAGAGCCTTTCCCTGTACACCTTGGGGTGCGACAGGGATGTCCTCTGGCTCCCACATTATTTAACATCTATTTTGGCCGCATAGTTCGTGAAGCCTTCAATAGCTGTACCGGGGGAATTTCCATTTGGTTAAGATATAATGGGAGGCTGATCGACGCCCGGGTGTGATCAAGGGATGGCTCCCTATTGGTCAACCACGTTATGTATGCCGATGATTTTGTAATAGCTGCTCATTCAGAAGAAGAGTTAGAGACGCTGCTGCTGAGACTGGAGCGTGCCACTAAGAGGTGGGGCCTTACCATCAGCCCCACCAAAACTAAGCACCTGCCTGGGTATTTTGTACCATCAGACACTCCACCCCTACAACTCCCAATCGGTGATGGGGCAGTAGTGGAGAGAGTGGAGAGTTTCCCATACCTGAGAAGTATGCTTATGACTGGCTCCAGTTTAACAGCAGAGGTCTCACTCCGAATCAGTCGAGCGGCAATATCTTTTCATCGGTTGCGTAGCGCTGTGTGGAAGCTACCTGGTCTGTCGCGCCGCACGAAGCTTCAGGTCTTCTCGGCCACGGTCATTCCTTCTCTTCTCTACGCTTGCGAAACATGGACCCCCCCCCCTAAGGTGCCGGTGACCCCTCCACCTTCAACTCAATAACCAAAAAAACACACAAAGAAAAGACCTAAACCAGCTTGGGCCAATGGCCCCGGGGGAGAGGCACCTATGACGTCTCCTGGGGACACAACCCTTCCCCCCAAACCCCCTGGGGTTCCTCCAGATACAGCTCAACACTACTGCGGATGGCCACGTGGAATGTTCGAACGTTCACTGTGGAGGAGAGGCTGCTATTCCTTTGTCGCGAGCTCGATCTGTTTTAAATATAGGAGATCCAGTGGGATAGTTCTGGCTCCAGTCACGAGGAGGGGTGGACACTATTCCACTTGGGGCAGGAAACTGCTAAACAAAAGGGAGTAGTTCTTCTCGAACCAAATCATGAAGGGTTGGTAGTATGGCAGCGAAGTATAGAAAGTTTAACACGTAGGCTTTCGCGACCAATATTATTCATAATCAACGTTTTTGGGTTTAGATCGCGTTATTTATAAATGTGTCGTAACCCTCCACCACCCGACACGGCCAATCAGTAAAAAAGTGTCACGTTGACAAAATTAGTTCACTGCTTTAGCCCACCGGTGTGTTGAAGCGCAAAACCACAACATTTACAATTTGAGTACGACGTTTCGCTGGTAATTGCAATTACCATGGCACCTGCTGCGTCTGTCCCATGACCTCCTGCCGGTGAGCATTCCCCACTTCACAAGGCCTCAGAGTGCACCTTGCCTGGCACAAGCGCCGTGGTGACGTCACCGCCACTGATGTGGTGGTGGTCAGGTGGATAAGAGGTCAGAACATTGAGATCCTGGGTTTAAATCTGGATTTCAGAAACCAGGTTATTAATCCAGGCTCTCAAGACTAGCGAGAACCTTCACCACAAACGTCACTAAAAAGACATGTAGTGATGCCATTAAGTTGGCGAAATTCCATCTTTGGGAACTAAACATTTTTGTTTGACTGTCATGCGACAATCTCATGGTAGAGTTTTGTGGGAATTGGCATCCCCCGCTTTGTAAAGGATAACAAATCCAGGATTGATTTCTCAGAAGTCGTGTGAAAAAAAAATATTCGGCAGCTGTTCTCTGACACGTGGACTGCCGAATCAATTGCCTGGTGACATGACGCGGAGAGCAACATCGGGGAAAGAACTCAAAGACGTAAATTAAAACGATGTTAGTGTGTGTGTGTGCGTTCATCATTCTATGTGTACGTGTGTGTAAGATGTATGTGTACGTGTGTGTACGTTGTATGTGTAAATTCCCGCTCACGGTCAATATCAGTGATAAATATCTGAATCGGTCCACACAGAGACACTCTACACACCGCGAATCACAGTATACAAATAAAAAAGATCCGCCGTAAAGCCATAACACACTGTTGGAGCAAGTGCTGTTATCGAGCACCTATGAAGGCCGGTACGGCACACACCCGGCCGCCTTTGTCTCCCAAGTGGCGATGTGTACACACCGCACCAAGTACTCATTTGAGGCTGGGTCGGCCTAGGGGAGGCCCAAGACCGATTCAGAAAATCGTCACTGCTGGTGGCCATGAACGGGAATCGAACTCCGGTAGCCAGGTTGGTAGCACAACAATAACCGCCATTTGCCACTAAGCAGCGGTGACATCACCACGGCGCTTGTGCCAGACTAAGTGCACTTTAAGGCCACGGTGAAGTGTCGAACGCTCGCTGCAGGTCACGGGACAGACCCAAATGCAATGGGCTGACTTAACTGAGATGACTGGCAGATGTACCACCTGTACTCCTACTGTGCCAACTTGCTGTGATTTAGCTGCCCGGCGCGCCGCTCGTTGTTGTGAGCGTCACTTCTCTACCCTCCGCTGTTGCTGAAGGGCGACTGTCTCCAACTGCTTAGCAGCGTCCTTCACAAGCGTCATCCACAGAGGCCGATCTTGACACGGTTCGTACCA